GGTCACGGGGCACGGGGCGTGCGGACAGCGCCGTTGCGAATTGTAGTGACAGTGTAAACACTCACCCAGTTCCTCTGTTAAATATTTAACGGACCCCTCAACAATAGCACACGGCCTCTGAATATAATGTGCCTAATCGGGTCCATGTTTTTTTTTTAATCGGCGCAGTGCGTTTATGTTATTAATCTTATACCCATACTTAACTTTGGTGGTTTCCATGGATGCTTCAAAACTAGCTACAATCGTTTGAATATTTTGAAACGAGATGCAAAACAAAAATCAATGCAAGGCAGCTTATAAAAGTGTCTTATTTCTAGGAAGAAGCGGAGTTTGTCTCATTGCAATGAACTGGAACACTGCGAATTTCCGCGATTGTACGTACGTATAGATGTGAAAATGTTCAAATTAATGTTGATTGTGTTTCTCGAGGGGACGTTGTTTCTAGAAAGAGCTCAGCCATCGCGTCCCCACTGCGCCCTCCGTGCTCGCCTATCAACGTACGCCCCCCCCCCCTCTGCAGCGGCGTGCACGCTGTGCATGCATGCGGCAGCGTCAAACCCCTCGTTACACAGTGTTGCATATGTATGTATATGAGCAAACGATTTTACACACACTAATCAAAATTATGTCATAAAACGTATAATTCGAGCTATTCGTTTAATTGGAGTTATCTATATTGAAAACCATTAACATTTGTTGACATGCAATATGAGTAGTGTCAAGGTTGCAGTTTCTTAACTGCAGTATACCGATGTCGGACTGCTCAGTCGTATAATACATTGTTGTCGATGGTGGACAGAGCACAAGGATCGCGTTGATGCTGCGCCGGTGGGCTGCGGGCTGCGGGCGGCGGGCGGCGGAGGGCGGCGATGCTATCGAGGGTCAGCGGGGTGACGAGATAGTGAGCGCGCGGCCGCGGCCGTCTCGCCGCAGTGGATCACTCTGTTTTGTATATACAATATCCAACACAGACAGGCCGCTATCAGACCGTAATAAGACCGAGGATGTCGCGACGAAAACACTTTCAACAAATTAGATTCAGAGACGCATTTGTGTAGCTCGGAGCTCAATTTAGCCATTGACAGAGCGATGTTATAAAAGCCCTCCAGACGAGGTCTCTATTGAGATTGATCAGACTCGAGGAAGTGATCTCTCGAGAGGCCCACAATCTGTCGTGCTCCCCCTCGCCCCTCGCCTCTCGCCGCCCCCAAGCGGCGGTGTTCTACACCATACAATACATTTAATGACGCACTACGCATCAGGTAGAAGCTTCACTTGGTATAAACATGACGCGCAGGGCGCACTCGGATTTAAGTTTTACACAAAGTGTCAAATTGTAAATATCTTCTCAATAGGCGACTATGGCCACATTAGCAACTCAACCGTTGCTTAAATTATGTCGATAGTTTATTAATTAACAGAACCAGTGTCATTCATTTGCACTCGATTGTTGCGCATCGCATATGCAGCATGTGTTTAAATAATTATTTACATATTATAAATTGTATCCGGACATGTATTTGTGAAGCGACACACGACTTTACATTTAATTAGCTACGATGACTTGGGGCGACCTGACTCGCGCACATAATGGCTTACCGCTTCCACTGCCTCTTGTTATTTATGTCTTTCAGGTATTAATGTAAGCAGAATTTTTCGCTAGATTTATTTAGTTCTCTTAGCATTTCCTGAAGTGTTTACAAAAAGAACTATGTCTTATTTTGGTTTATTCCTTTGCTGTTCCATTTTTGATCACTCATTATATTCTGTAGGATAGCTATGTAGATTATGTTGAAGTATATTACAATAAAAATATAGTAAATGTAAATCAGTCGAAATGTTTATCAAAGATTACATGCCTAGCTTTCAAGGGGCAAAGCGCGGGGCATTCGAGACGCAGAGTGCACTGCTACAACCCCCGCAGCGTTCAAAGGGTTAAGTTATTTAGTGCGTTGAAGCTTGAAGCGCGTGCAGAAGAGCCGGCGGGCACAAGCAGCCGTGCGCACTGCACACGTCGCTGCTGCTGTGAGATTAACTTTTACTTTAACGTTTAAGTTAACGCATATTTAACTTTGACGTGCATCAATGAACAAACCAAAACGACTGGTGTACTTCGCCAGGCGCGCGCGTGTCGGAGGAAAGGTTATAAAGTTTATATTTAGAAGAGCACCGACTCAGTAGATCGATATGTCTACCGAATGCGATACGGAAGTTCACATTGGTTCATTTGCTTGCATAAGAAAAAAATATGAGACAGTGGAATTAAATGATATAGCTGATTTCCTATAACGTACGCGCATACAACCTCTAACATCTAGGTGAGTGTTGACTAACTAAACTGTCGTTAAAGTACACACGACAGTCGTACCCTCATACTTCACATTCCAGTGTACACTTTACCATTTGCTTATTATAGATTAATTTTCATAAAACTATGTAATGTGTTAGCGGAGGTCGTGTGTGTGCTGCAGGCAGCAGGCGGCAGAGAGCGGGGGCGAGGGCGGGGGCGGTAGGTCCGGGTTCGGAAGGACCGGTTGGAGCCCGAGTCCACAAAAAAAGCCCGGCTCGTCCGGCGGCGGCGGCCGACGGGCTGCGGGTGCGAGCCGGTGTTTACGTCTAATTAGCTGCAACCGGCTCAGAGTCTAGGGTGGCCGGCGCTCTAACAAAATGAAGCATTTTGTGTAAGCTTTTGCTCCCATCTTATATTATCTACAGTTTTTCAATTTTATATTTTTTATAGAATCTTGCTGATTCTATGAAAAAATAATATACAAAGAGGTTTGATAAAAAAGAAATAATCAGATTTCCAAGCGTTAAACTAAGTCCAGTGGTATATCATATATGCAGGGGAGGGGGAGGCAGCGACCACACGAGCCACCAGAGCGCACGGTGCGGGGGCTGGGGGGCGGCGCACGCGGCTCGTGTTGCAGACATTCGATACCGTCAAGCTTCGTTTTGCACAACGTGTCCAGGTATCTACATGGTAAACCAGCGCGACTAAATTCTTGTAGTTTTATGTATCCGCGCTATAAAATTGTCACTTATAATCATTTTAATTCAAGGTACTCAAAACTTCCATACTTACCACTGTAACAGAGCCAATTGATGGCTGGACTATTATTAAAGAAAACGAACTGTGTATTGTTTGAAATAAATTGGTCGCCCTAGACATCCTGATATTAGAGGTACTGCAATTGCGCTGGATTTTGACGCACTGTGAATTAATTGCTAAAATGTGTATGTCTGTTGACATTACTGTACATAAACGTGAAGCGTACATCCATCAGTCAGAGCACCGCAGCTGTCGGTTCAGACGAACATAAATCATAATTTCGCCATTCCACTTTAGCGCGCTGACCTCCGTCACCGACATACTCAGAGACAACACAATAAATAACCAAATGATAAACGCCGGCGACTGTGATCGTCTTCAGCGCATACCCGCCTTAGGCTGTCCTGCAATACTTCTCTTGTTTGTTTTATTTTCAGTTCAAAATGGTGAATCATCATACAAACATCGCTAAATATTAAGTAATAGGTTAAGAATCATTCAACTCTGCAACCTTGAGTGAGCTATTAAGTTACTTGCTCGATAAAAAGTATATACTTACATACTTTTTATTGGTAACTTTACCAATAACAATAATTTTGCAGTTTACTTTTAACAAATGTACTCAAAACAAATGCAAGCTCAAATCCAAACATGTGACGACACACAAATATTCAACTTATATATACAGTCGCGGAGATTAGCGGTGTATCGCTTACAGAAAAATTGCCCCGTCCCTCGCATAAAGACAAACTCCTCCCCGTTTTAAAATGCACAATAAGATAGCAACGAGTTGCGCAAACGCCAAAAAAATTATAAAATAAAACCGTGTAACACTGACAGACCTTTTTTCGTAAAGACAATTTTAAAATGCGTCCTATTCCTTATGTCGTTGTCCCAATAGCTACACAACGTTCAGAAGAACTTTTAAGATGGAATACCGCCAGATTTCCAGACTGTACCTACATAACATGCAACAAGTATATCATAATGGTATCATCTGGTGGGAAAGTCGCGAGATATAAATAGATAAACAAACTTCGGTCTCGATCACGATTCCACTTGATGTGGTCGAAAGATCAGTTTGGTCAGTTTACTCTTACTTCTAATGTCGACAGTTGTAGCGGCAAATAGCGCGGGCTACCTGTTACAAAACTTTTTTTATGTCACATGCAACTTTTGTTTACTTCGTTTAACGCGCCAATCCAAAGCTAGCTGAACTGATGTGGTGAAGACGCTGCCTGTCATTTCGACTGTCCTAATTTCTCTTGGTGTCTTTCGGGACAACCCAATTATTCGTTTCTCAATATCAACAAGTTGGAAAATTTTTAAGTTACATTATCGATTTATCGGTCTCCTAGTGATCCAATCAGCATTCAAGTGTTCAATATGTACCAAATAAGTTAATATAATCTATACTTGCAAAAAATTAAATCTTTAACTTAAATGTTTGCAACAAGAAATATATTGTGGAACAAATCTCTTGACAACATGTGCAGAACAGATGCTCACTAAATGTGTAGAAATGTTATAGTTCATTAAACAAAGCCAAATCTGCATGAAAAAGCCTTCCTACCATAGAAGAATAAGTTTGTGCTTTTTCAATGAAAGCTTAAACTTAGAATATTTAAGTTTTGGTTTACATTCGAAAGATTTTTTCTGGCAAATAAGTATATATTTAAACAATGAAGATATAATTGTTGCTCAAGGTAAGGATGTAAATTTGCGAAGATGCCCTTACCCGGAGAAGGTGAGGCCGCACTCAGCAGCGCCAGCAGCAGCGCGCCGCCGGCACTCAGCCTACACATCCTAGGAGCTATTCAGATGGTCTTCATGGCACTCGCGCCTGCTTCACCACTACCCCACAACACCGTGCTAGCACAGCACGCTCGATATAGGCAAGAACACTATGTACACTTGTCTCAACGCCCTGTACGCGCAGCTTTTTTACACCACAAAGCTTTCCTACTTTATTCAATTCAATAGTAACTTGTTAAGCGACAGTTATTCTCATATTAGTCGACACGAGTATTATTAAATTAAAACTTGAGTGAAATAAGGCATGTGTTGGTTTATTTCAACAATAAAGTCACTTAGAAAACGTAAATAAAGATCCAACCCCACCGGTCCGCAACACAAAAGCGTCACAAACGAGAAAAAAAACACAAACACCTTGCACTTTGCAGTCACCGAATATGACCGTGCCGGTATCGTTTTGGTACCGTACTGACTGCTACTAACTAGGGAGGTGCAATCCCCGACACTATGGTGGATCGATACAACGCTATACGTTTCATTCGATATTTGTATCGATACAACGCCATTCGATTTCGATTTACTGGTGCATCGACAGTCGAAACACCACCTCTGTGGATCGGATTGAAAAGTATCGTTACATCATCATCATCAAAAGCACGGGATGGAACGAGAACGGAGTGATGTATTTCTTCACTGTAAATACGTCAATTAAATTATGTACACATGAATTCGAAAAATCGAAAATCACATTACTACATGGCGTGATTCAAACCTGTGGATTACAAGTCAAGTGTTCAAACCACTGTGCAGTACTTAATTTGTATCGAACCTTGAACCTTGAACAATTCATATTAAGATATTTAAGTTTTGATGTGTCTAAATAAATAAATACATAAGAGTTTCGTAACTTTAACAACATATTACTGTACTTTATACGGTACTCGATCGATCCAGACAAATAGTGTCAAACAGACCTGGATAAATACAATGCACTAGGATCTAAAGTATTGATACACAGCACATGATCAAGCATCCCTAATACTAACGTATTAAATTGAATCAGTACTAAGTCCAGTTTAGTGAAATGGCAAACCATATCGAAACTTACGTCGTACCAGTACCGTTCTGTGCAACGAACTAATGTGTAAACTTTTTCTTCGTTAAGCTCTGACTTAAAAGCGCCTGTTACTGAAAGGTCATACTGGTTAATTGTATTTTTAGTTTGAATCCGCATCACCGCTTCCACTCGCAACCCACAATGCCGAAATGGAAAAATCAAATGGGCACAAAATACCACGCTTTGTAGCCTATCCAACCGCCCATTTTTGTAAAGTAATTAATGTTTTTTTAGTCGTACCTCGAGTCTTCAGCTAACATTATTTTTTTCTTACAGGGTAACGTAAAGAAGTTGGCTTAAAGCTATGTTTCTAGTTTTACTCTCCGCCCTGGCCACAGCATAATAAAAGGTAAACATGTGTCAACTTCACTTCCAATTCCAAGTGACGTCTGTCAACTATCAAATAATAATTTTCTTTGCAATAATCGTCTTGGTTGTAATTAAATAGAAAATAATAAAAGGCAGGTATAATAATAACAACTCCTATCAAGCCAGTGACTAAATTAATAAAAACGAATTATCGCAATTACTTTTAAGTTATGTAATAATTTAGGTTATTTAGAACATTTTGCAATTGTAGACATGGGAGGTCATGGCTGCGATGAACCATATAAAATACCGGACTACAAACAGTTTAGAATACAAGGAATTCCGCAGCTAGAGGAGCTTGAAAGGGAGCTGGCAAAAAAGGGTCTCAAAGACCCTTGGATCAGGTACTGTTCGTTACACAAGTTGCATCCTCGCGTCACAATACTACATGTATAAGTAATGGCATCTTGTTATGCTCAACAGATAGCTTTGTCCGATAATAATCCTGACGATTTTCATTTCATTAATGTGAGAAGTTACTTATTTTTGTATTAAAAATATATGTAATACAAAAAACTATGGAACCTAACATTTTACAGGGATGTGTCATGTCCCATGTACCTATTACTCCAGACTTTCTATTATATTTGTGCTAAATTTCAATAAAATATGCTGACCAGTTACAGAAGTGTCTATTAACTATGAAAAAAACTAAATTTATGCTTTTCATGGCACAATAAATCAAATCAAATATTTTACTTATTGTAAGTTCTGAAAAAAAAAGTGGTTTGCTAAGTTAATTCTGTTCCCTGTTTTCAGGAATGAAGCTTGGAGATATCATCCAGGCTTTGGGACACCTGCAGCCAGAGGTAGAAAGTTCTTTTTCCGTGGTTTCCCGCTGGGGCTGGCGCTGACAGTAGTGACAGTGGCTATCACCAAGCTGGCGGGTGGGGACGATGGTCATGGGGACCACCACTGACGTTTCACATGTTCTATACACTTATTTGTAAACTAGCTTTCTAATGTGCATTGTCAACACCTACAGTGTGTCATTATAAATTATTTAAACTACTTGCAGTTATTACTTAGATGATGTGGTTTAGTTTGAAATTAAATTGTTTTTTTTACAATCTTCTTTTGTTCTATCCTCAGATTGTAGTGTTGAATATTTGGTTAACAAGTAGGTATCACTGATCTATAAGAATGGATAGGCAAACAATTTAATTTACAATTATATCTGTGTCAACTTTAAACTTGTTTAAGACAGAACTATACATGTCCATACTAGGTGCTATACAAGAAAACAATTATTTGAAATCTCATGATTTATTTAACAAAAATAAAGTAAAAGACCAATATTCCTTTACTTTTCTCAGATTACATGGAGCTGTACATACTTAAAGATGTACAATAATTATAATTCTGACTTGTATATAGATTTAGGTATTTTATTGCTGTCACTGTAATGTGATATACAATTTTCCGACTAAGTTAAATTACCAACAGAAATAGTTGTGTTTATTGACAAAGAACTTGTAATGGTGCGCTCACGTGGTGCGCGGCTTGAGGTCGTCGAAGCACGGCCGCAGGAAGATGAAATTCTTTTTAGCGGGATTATAGTGCTCGTGTCCCTGCAATACATATAAAATGTTTTCAGACATTATAAATATTAGATTTTCTACGACATAATCCTCTGGAACCCGAATAATGATCTAATAGAAAGGAATGTGTAACATGTGTACCTTGGACCAGTCGTAGCCGACTGCGTAGGCGAACACCTGTCCGCTGTGGTTGAAGGCGCACTTGGTGAGCGGCTGGTCGATGGTCTCGGAGGACTTGAGCTTGGTGCGCGCATCCTTGTCCCAGAAGGAGTAGCAGCCGTCCGAGCCCACCGTGGCCAGCGTGCCGTGCACGGGGTGGAATGCGATGTCGTTCACCGCGTAGATATCCTGTTCGCGGCACTCGTTTCAGACATACTTTGCACTCTTTTATCAACAGTATTATAAACAATGTAACTATCCTAGGTTTTGAACGCGACTTTGCGCAGAATGAAGAAAAGGTAAAATGGGTCTTCATAGAAATATGTTCTAATCTGTGTCCAATTTCATTAAGATGTGTGAACGTGAAGTTGGTGTGTTTGTGAGTTACCTGGAAGCTGCCGGTGGTGCCGCCGCCGGCGCGGTGGCACTTGAAGGTGAAGTTGTCCTTGGGGTTGACGGGGTTGACGTACTGTATGGCGACGCGGCCCTCCACGCTGCCGAGCGCGAAGCCCGTCGGCTGCTTGGTCTTCTTGTCGCGGAAGATGGCGATGCAGCGGTGCTGGTACTTGAGCGGCGACTCCACCCGCTTGTACTCGGCCGGCTTGCCCTCCAGCGTGTACAGGCAGATGCCGCGGTCCGCCGTGCCCACCACCGCCATCGGGTACTCCTAGTGCACACACATTCACAACCGACCTCGGCCAACATCGACCACAACATCTATGCTGTACTCACCACGTCGGCGCAGTAGCAGCGCTCCGAGAGATTCATCGTCATGATGGGCACCGCACTGCGTGTGTCCCAAAACTACAACAACATATGTACAATCTATACTTAATTTATAAAGTAAATCATAGAATATTTTTGAATAATTCCTGTCTTTAATCCTACACTTACAACACACTTTAGGCTATATATTTCCAAGCTATTTAACTTGGAGGAAAATAAATTGGAAAAAACTTCATGTGACAAAGGGACCATAAACTAATAGCCGATATCATCAGTAATTGTTATCCAATATCCAAGACCTTCATTGACTTTTATACATTTGTATTTTGATATTTGCAATTGATAATTTTATAAATGTTAACAACAAAATAATGTTTTTATAATATCATGCTTACTTACAAAGTTACCCATATAGCACATGACATGTATTACAACATTAACTGATTAAATAATACATTATTTAAGAACACATACCTAGACCACAATTTATGTCAATACAACATACAGTATATAGTTATGAATATTTTACAATTGTTTTCAAATATCTCGGAGAGCCGAGGTCCACAGTGAAACTTACTATGCCTAAAATGGCATTTCTTACATCAACTTTCATGTACTCAAAAGCTACCAAGATATCTGTATCAGATGCAATGTGTAGAAGCACATACTTTGATTGTCTTATCCCAGGAGGAGGTCATCAGGCAGTTGTAGTTGGGAGCTTTGATCCAGTGACATGTCTTTACGGGGGCGTCGTGCGCTGCTACCTACGGGTAAGAATTACTTAATAATAATTATACTGGATGACTTGAAAACTTGATTACTTTGCATACATAGTTTAATTGAGATCAAACAAGAACAAAGACACAATAAGACTGTTGTAAAGTCAAGGTGGAAAAGCTAAATGAGAATGTCATAGATGTTAGAGTTAGTTTACCTGCACACACTGGTTGGCCGCTAGGTCCCAGCACTTCACACTTTTGTCTGTCGAGGCCATGAACACTTTACTGCCATCCTACAAAACAATGTTACAAAAACAATCTCTTACAGTACTTGTTTATTATATTTCATCATAATTATGAAACTGTACCAACATCATGCCACGCCACATCTAAAACGGGCCCTTCCATAGATTGTGCAGCTTTTGGCACAGTTTTTCCAGAAATTTCTACTTCCCAGCATCTTACCTGAAAACAAAAATTAGACATTACAAATAAAGTTTGAAACTTTAATAAAGTTTAAGTTAAAAAAAACGTGGCCGATTGTTCGTTTGCCGTCTAAAACATAAATCATGGTAATAATTGACATTGAGTCTTACTCGGCAATCCCAGCTGCCTGCTACGAGAAATGTTTGTTGTACGGATGGCGGTGAGAACTCCATAGAGGACACGGTGTCCTCAGGTGGGGAAGTCACCTCAAGATCCTTGTTGGGATTGTTTGTGCCGCCACCGAGCTGATTAAACATTTTACCGCACTTACAGTCCAATCAAATAAACCACTTCACAGAATGCTAGTTGCTCGTAGCTAAATATTTAAACTTCACTGTACCCTTACGCTTGAGTTATATTAACAATTTATTACTTGTAAATTTAAAATTTACAGGCGGTAAACATCAATTTCAAACAGGGTTAATTTGAATGACAATCTGTCAATTTGTAAAGAGAAGACATTGACAACAAACAAAACCTCAATTCAAAGATTATAAAGCGCAACAAGCTTGTCAGTTTATCGCGATTAGTTCTGCCAGAAATTGGATAAACCTACAAAGGCATAGGGAGGAATGACTAAAAAAACTTGACGAGAAGACAAGGATCTTATAACACTTTCTTATTCCATATCAACAAGGGGGCCGTCCAAATATGTCGTAGAGGCCTTCAAGAAAAGAGTCATTGAGTATATCTATTAGGCTAGTTCGTGTTATCTTTCGACTACATCATCACACGTTAGATGGGATCGTGGTAAAGCGCTAGCTTAAGAAACATATATAATAAAATGGATATTCCCTATTCAAGTTATTAGCTATTAACTAACTCGACTAATTCTAACTGAATTATTGCCTTAAGTTCCGAACACCGCTGGAATGGCGTAGATGAAAAGGTAACAAAAAAATTATACCTTATAGCCTGTCTAGGGAGGTATTGGGAAATAAAGACTATGGCATTTGCAATTCCATTTTCCAGATGTCAGTGTCAGTTGCCAATGGCTGTTTCCTGTTTGCTAGTCATCTATTTGTCAAGTTAATTCGGCGTAAACATCTTACCAATAAAAAAACCTCTACATCTTTTGATTAAAGCACTTAAAATATAGAAATATGAGTACTACAGAATTCGTTCAAATAAAAGATTTAAAACCTGGCATGAAGAATATAAACGCTGTATTTATAGTGTTAGAAGTGGGTCCTCCTACTTTAACAAAGGAGGCTCGTGAAGTGCGCACCTTGCGAGTTGCGGATGCTTCTGCTATGGTCAACTTTTCAGTATGGGACGAACCCGGGGCACTGTTACAACCGGGAGATATTGTTCGACTCACGCGGGGCTATGCTTCGCTGTGGAGGTCAGCTCTTACGCTCTATTCGGGAAAATCTGGCGACATACAAAAAGTAGGTGAATTCTGTATGATTTTCAACGAACAATTGAACATGAGCGAGCCCCAGCCGTCCGTTCCAGCGGCCGCCTCCTCCGCACAGGCCGTAAACGAGCGCAACGGCAATGGCAATGGGTCTCACTCGGGGCCTCGCTCACTTATGCCAAACGCAGCGGCAAGTGGTCAGGGCGCTCAGCACAGCAGTCAGAAGCAAGAAAGATATTCAGGGTCTCAACAAGAACATTCTGGTAAACATACACACAAGACCTATGTGAGGGGCAGAGGGCATCAGCGGGGCAACAATCGGAGATAGCAACCATATTAATGAGCTGTGATATACATATCTCAATATCACTTAAGTTACAACTGGAAAAGACAATTGTAAACAAAAAATATTGCTAAGTGTGTGTGGGCAATGTAACTTTATATGATATCACTGTTATACATAAAATGAAAAAGAGACAATGTTCTCATGCATGTGTACTGTGAACATACTTTAGTTCAGGGATGTTGATGGTTTTCACTAATTAGTTTTTCAGTCATTTGTTACTGTAATTAATTCAAACATATACCTACTAAATTATTGTAGCTTTATGGTAACTGTTGTAGAACTTGATTTATTTATTACAAGTCAAATGTAATTCTTTATTGTACATATTAAGTTATTATTATGTTATAGTCTAGTTGAGAACATGATGTATTTGGTCAAATTTTGAGCGATAAATATTATTAAATATACATATCTACTCATTTTACCTCTTTTTTATTTTAATCCTCAAAAACATTTTGACAGTTATCCATGTTTTACTGTACAGACCTAATTATTTTTATAGTACAAGGTGGCAAAGAAGCATATGGCCATTAGATTCACCAAAAAAGTTAAGTGATAACTGTCCACTAACATTTACATTTCATTTGTTGCCTACCTTTTATATGCCAACACAGTAAGTGATGTATCTGTAGATGCAGTTGCTTACAGGAAGCAGTCGGTAAGATGCTAGTATGGTTAGTACATTTTGTTGCATACTGTCACTGACTTTTGATTTCAACATTAAAGTGAATAAAAGGCAAGTTGCTTGAAGTATCATGGTGTAAGTGTTGGTGATTGAGGTATTCTCTACCAACATTGTAGGTTATGTGGCGGCCGGCAGAGGCCGTTGTCGCCGGGTATTTCATATTACATATCGCATATCGCAATACATATCGAAAAGACTGCTTCATACAAAATTTCGCATAATGATCCCTATTCGTTAATATGTATTCGAAAGCACGTAAATTAGAAATTATTACGACTTTTGTCGATAGATGGCCCTGTTGGCGTCGTTTGCACTCCGTCCTAATAGATGGCGCTGTGGCGAGGCCGTCTTACTTTGAACCGCGATGTTATGAATGTCTCTCCACAGATCTAGTCGCCCGCTAGTCGCGGGTTTTTTGGTGATTTATCGGTCGTTCTTTGAGTTATTATTGTAGTTGTCGTTGCGTTCTGTAGAAGTCGTTTGTTTCTGTTTCTGGAATTTGGTCGTTGGTCAAGTCCCGAGGTTCAAATTCGGGGAACCCAAGTTACGTAGGAAACAAAACAGGCCCAAATTGTTGAAGGGAAGACGCAGCGATCACTGACGTATTTAAAATACGCTATTCGGATATAACTATATTTGGCAAATTTTTTTTATATACAAAAAAAATCAACGTATGATAATAAATCTGTACAGTACAACAACAATATAAATAGAGTAATTATAACTATTATAAAAGAAACACAACTTAAATGTCATTTGAGGGAATTTACGACAACTAAACTGACTTTTGACGGTCGCTTTTTTTTTTCTTATTAATTCGTAAAACTTGTACCTCTAGCCTACTATTTCGCAATTGATGTCGGTAATTGAGTACTTCCTTATAAAATAGCAGAAGTTACAGCTCCAATAATTTTATTCCACTGTTTGTGTAACAGTTGACCTCGCGCGTAGCGGCGAGTGTTTTGCGTTCGAGTTCGAGTACTTGACCATGTGTGTTGTTATGTTACATCGTGATCCTTCTTGTGGACAGCCAGAGAGGCAGACTTGAGTTATGCTGGTTAAGTAGACAAATAGTCTACTGCCTTCTTCTGTTAGCTTTTTAACTATTTTCATATATTCTCTAAAGTTATTTGTTAATCTGTGCTATTTATCAATACGATTTATCGTTATTTAAAACAACATTGTTAGAAAAATAATAGGGAACGGAAGGAATAGTAGGGGGTAGTTTAATAAAATACATGGAAAAGAGTGGCTCAGTCGCCAAAACCTCAGTATTTCTGTCGTCACCACGGAATGTTCGATATCTTTTCGTTGTCGCATTGGAGTTCAGTTTGTATGTTCTGAAATAATTTACAAGCATTGTTAAAACGGCCGTCCGTCTATATTTTAAAGGAAGTCATTTGTGTAGAAATATCTAACATTCCGATAAATCAAGACAAGTCAGGGAAGTTAAGGGATAAAATACCAGATGCCAAATCACCTGTGGATCCTCCGATGTAAGGATTTCGACTTCGTAAAAAATATGATCTCTTTAGCTAGTGTTTCCTAAGGTCATATTTAAATAACTAAATTAACTCACGTTACGCAAAATACCAGTGAAGAACATGAATCCAAATTGGTCTAGACCTCTTATGGAATAGCTTAGGGTGGTTTTAAGAAACAGCACTTCTAGCTGCACTTTACATACTCGTATTTAGAGACGTAACTTATTTTACCTCTATAGCTAATGCACAAGTCTGCTTTGAATATCTCACCAAGATGATAAATGCCTACATACATCATTAAAGAACACGTACTGGCAATTAGTATATAAGCTTTCCCGTTATACAAGTTAAAAACTTCGATAATGTTAGCACGTTTAATTAGCTGATGTGTTTAAAGTTTAAAGGCCCTTAACATAATGTAATAAATTATTTAGATAATGGAAAAAGTTGTTTATTACATAAACGACCACTTTTCTAAACGACGAGCAAAAAGCGGTGATTTCATGCCGACGAGTTAACGTTCATGCTTGACAACTGGATGTTAAACAAACACACACACACACACACACACACACACATTGACAGACCTGTAAGCAGGGCAGAGATGGCGTACTGCCTCTGGTCCGGTCTACATTGACCTGCCTCAATTCTGGTACTATTTTTCCCTTCATGTTTTAAAAAAACCTAACCTGCGCACTTTTGCAAAAGCCTTGAACTATGTATGTATCGTGTAACACGTGCATTAAAGAAAAATTACGCTTAAATCCTAAATTATGCATAAAGCGATTATTGCTTTTTGCTACACCGTAAGTAGTCGTGTTGTGACTTCATGTAAATTTTATTAATTGTACGATTGAATTAACAAAATAGGCAAAACATGTAAGCAATCATTTGTTGTTTTAGCTTAGTTATTCTAAAACTAAAATGCCGTCTCGGCCTCGCAATCGACCATTTCAATAGATTACCCTTTGCTTTAGTGTTAGTTGTTTGTATTGAACCAAACGGAGCTGTAAAAAGTTATGTTACTTTGCGTCAAACATCAGCAATCAGTTGTTTGTAACTGCTGTTTATCTAATTTAATTAAATAGCAGTTCAGGTAAATGATTATTGCAACATTAGTTTGATATTAACATTACAACGCATTGCAACATTCTGTACATCTTTGCGTATCCTTTTCATGGGTTTCGATACCTAACTATTAGTCTATCTAGAAATTTATTTTAAGGCGTAGTTACCTTTTTAAGAATATTCAACGAATGTCGATAACTGGACGACTTACAAAAGTTATGTTGATGCGTACAACGTAACGTGATACTCAAAGGTCACATAAAACTTTCTGCCGTCCACATAAAGTTATGTAACCATCGAGTTTTCTAATGAGAAGAAAGGTAACAAATTTGTTCATATGCGGAGCGTGGCCCCCTTGCAGAGCCACCAGACCTCGCTGAGACCGGCACGCACTGGCTAACACGCTTCGACATTGCCACCGACCGCAGTCAAACCATCCTTTTTTAAAAGCGAGAATTGTTAGATGTTAGAGTTTTAGGATTTCGTGGAATAAGTTTCGAAATGAAGTGTTGTGTCTACCTAAAGAGCATTAAATATCGCTTAGCGGTCAGTTCGGTGCGCCGTCGCATGAGCGGCCGCGGCTGCCGCGGCACGACACGCGACCACACTTACCTTTCTAATGGTCGCCTGATGCTTTACACTTACGATACCAGCTCATGTTCTTTTATAAAAAAAAACAGGTGATCAGAGATTTGACTGGTGCACAATTTTGAGTAAACTGTCGCACAACTGTTGTATGATTGTCGATTGTTTCGAAGCCAATTCAACTGTTTAGTTGCACAACTAAAAATCGAGTAGTGTCCATATCCGCTCATAGGAATCAAAGCGCGACCAAAGAGTTGTGCGACAGTTTAGCCGAAGTTTGTATTATTGAAATTAGTAGATGTATTATGTACCGTAACTATTGAACTGTTTTTTATTTTTATTGTAAAATGTTTCCAGCAAAGCCAACCATTTTAATATATGATACTGGTGAAGTCATCTGTCCTAATTGCACAATAAAAATGAAATTGCTTTTTTAATTTATTAATTTACAGCTAAATCAAAACTTTTTAATGTTGTAACCTTTATCTTTTTTTAGACCGAACTTGTTTGTCTAAGATTTTCGTAAAGTCAGACTTTTCTAAAGGTTATCAAGTTTATGGATGCGTCGGTCGGGAGTGCGACCGGCGGGCTCGGGGCTCGGGACAAACAAAAAACAAAAGTGCGATGCGCTCTTTCTAATGTCAAGGTCAACGTCGCCATCTCTGGCATTCGGCAGTCGTCCAGCGACGGGCGATGGATGACTGTTGCAAGTGATTATGTACAGAAAAGAAACACTGCGTTGCGTTAAGATGACTTGGGAGCTCGTGATGAATTCATTACATTTTAATGTATATTCTATTTTTAAATTCTGGCTATTATTAGGTTCTTACTGTCCTATTAAAATGTTACTAAAGTCAAGGTCACCAGTTACATACATACTTGTCAAATCTCCGTCTAATACAAAGCGGGTAAATTACATCAACTCTTGTGTTGAGTTTTTGTTCGTGTTGAGACGACGCGACGTCGGTCGCCCACACATACCGCACCTTGACATTTCGTCAATTAAATCTTCTTGAAAATATCCTTATCTTTGTTATTTCACAAAAGCTTCCTTCTAACAAATTTATGTATACATAGCAACAGAGCTTTAGGAGAGAATAGTCTCTCACCAGACCAGATAAGTTAGTTGCACTATACCTGTAAAATTGTAAAAATAATGACAGAATTCACAGAATTTTAATTAATGTATGTCGATCGCTCAGCCACCAGCCAGTGTCAATGTCATGGCCGCGCGGTGACGTCACGCTCGCAATATCTAATGTCAAGGACTCTCTTCTGTATCTAATCTGGTTTTATTTTATTGGAAATATAATATAATTTAAATGTTATAAAAGTTTCGTTCATATTTATTATGCTTCCCTTTTCCTCTGAACAATTTCTCTTCTCATCTTTTCCTTATAAGAAAAGTGGGGAAGGAGAAGAGGACTAGAATTTCACCTCCGGCAAGCAAACTCGTCGGATTGAGTTCCACTTGTCGTCTATTTTCTGGGTGGTTATGGTATTGCACCGAGCGACCACTCTGCTGCGGGCTCCACCTCTGAAGTCACCCAATTTTGTATTGAA